TTTTTTCAGGTAAATTGAGGTGGGAATAGATTGATTTTATTATTATCTTTATGTTTTTTTAAAGTGATTTGGGATAGAAGCAGGTCAATTTTATTAATTATTTTTACATTTTTTTGGGTGATTCAGAATGAAAATGAGTTGATTTTATTATTATTTTTATGTTTTTTGAGGTGATTTAGGGTGGGAACAGGTTAATTTTTTATTATTTTATTATTATCTTTACATTTTTTTAGGCGATTTAGGGTGAGAACAGATCAATTTTTATTATTTTTTATGTTTTTTTTTGGCAATTTTGGGTTGATTTTTCTATTTCTTATATTTTATATTTATTATTTTTATATTTTTTGGGCGATTTTGGAAGGAATAGATTATATTTTATTATCTATTATTTATTTATCTATATTTAGAATGATTTAAGGGAATTTTAGAAGAAAATGAGTTATATTTTATTATTTTATTTTTCTATTTTTAATAGAAAATTAATCAGTAAGTTTTAGTAATATTTTTTTTGTTATATTTTTGCATATTTATATTAGGTTTTTATTATTAATAAAATTTTAATATTTAATAAATTTAATAAATAAAATATATCAATTATTAATGCTAAATTACTTGTCTAATTGAAGTCGATTAGTATTGATTAGTGTCTAAATTGTTACTGAATTAATACTAAATTAAGGCTATTTTTAGGCTGATTTATAATTAAATTGCTTATCTGATTAACATCGATCAGTGTTTGAATTGTTGCTAAATTTATACTGAATTAAGGCCAATTTTAGGTTAATTTATAGTTGAATTGCTTGTCTGATTGGAATCAATCAGCATCTATCAGCGTTTGAATTATTGTTAAATTAAGGCTGATTTTAGGCTGATTTATGATTATTTAAATTTTGAATTGATGCTTAATAATTATATCTAATTAGTATTTATTAGCGTTTGAATTGTTGCTGAATTGAAACCAATTTTAGGCTGATTTATAGTTGAATTTAAGTTCTAAATTGATGCTGAATGGCCATGTCTGATTGGGATTAATCAGTGTCTATCAATACCTGTTTGTACAGAAAATATGGTAAATCAGCTATAAATAGTATCAAAATTAGCCTAAAATTAGCCATTTGATTTTAGCTAATTTGGATTATTTCGACTAGTAAATTTTACTATTATGCTATTATGTACTTACTGTAATTCTAATATTTTTATATAAATTTTGAAAGAAAAATTGATAATACTATTATTTAAAATAGTACTTTACAAAATAAATTTCATTTATGTTGATTTACAAGTGTTTATTAAATTATACTATTTAATTTGAGAATACTCTTTTCAAGTATAATTATATTTATATTCAATAACATTTTAATTTTATTGATTTTTAATATTAAATATTTATTTATATAATTGTTTAAGATTAAAAAATGAATACACAAATTGTAATCCTATTTAATTATTACAAGAAATTTTTAATTAATTATATTATATATCAGATTCATAAATTTTAAATAGTAAGTTTTTAATATTTTTTGTTTAAAAGAATTTTTATTTACAAATTGTTTTTTTTAAATAAAAGATTTTAATTTATAAATATTGATTTAGATCCTGATTACTATAAGATTTTAATTTACTATATGAACATAATATTACTGAAAAAAACTTTTAAGTAAAAAAGATCATCACGAATATAAATAACTTACTTTAAATAGAATTTTAGATACTACAAGAGTTTGTGATTTATTCTTTGTACTACTTGCTCAAAATTATGCTATTTATTTAACTAATATGCATTAAACAATTCTAACTTTGAATTATTACAAATAGCTATAAAAACATTTATTTATATTTGTAATTTATCTATTATCTTAGAAGATCATCTCTTATACTATATAATAAAATTTTTGTTAGTATAAATTTAACTTGTAATTTTCCAATTGAATAAGTATATTACTTAAGCAAAGTTGAATATTTTTAAATATATTACTATTGTAATAAAAAAGAAAATCTTGTTAAACTATTATAAGAAATTTCATCTTAGTTTCAAATAATATATCCCTTATGTGAAGTTTGTTAAGAAAAAGGAAAGATTTTTTTACAAAGGATAAAATTCAAATGTGAAAAAGAAAACTTGTATAATTATTTTTTATATTATATAAATAAATAATTGTTATTTTTTCTTAATTTAAAGATTTTATAATAATATTAAAATTGGTATTAATAAATAATAATTCTTCATTATTTTTCATGTATAATCATAATTTGAAAAATTTGCAATTTTTTTTTTTTGAATTCACCCTCCTATAACTTTTTTTAATAAAAATTTTTATTAAATATAATTATAATTTAGTATAATCTTATTACAAGAATAACTGCTAAAATAAAAGTCTAAATTATAAAAAATTAAATTATACTAGAATGGAGTTTAATAATCTTCTATAATAGTAAGTTACTAATCATACACTATTTCTAAAAATATATACTAATTCTTTTTTTTAATTATAAATAGAGTATAGGTACAAAATTATTAAAAGATAATATATATTCTATCTTATTAAGCTATAGTATATATTTATTTAATACAGTTTCTTTTATACATTAAATATTTTAAGATCTTTTTTTTAAATAATTTATTTATGAAAAGAGTTGAAATTTCTGATGTTAATCAGTAGAATCAATAAATTTTATTTTTTTAAGCTTAATATCAGCAATTCTTCAATATAATATTTTATTATAATAAGATTAATTCTTTACTAGAAAATTAGAAGACAGACATTAAAAATATTGCTCTAGAGTCAATTCTTAAAAAAGGAAGTTTTTGGATAATTAAGTGGATTTCTTGTTTAAAAATTAATTTAAATAATTATCTATATTTTAAAATTTAGTTTAAATAATTTTAAGAGATTATTTTTTTATAACTTTATTAGTTACACAAAGATTAGTTACATATTTCTTGTTCACAAAATGATAAATAAAATATTCAAAGAAGATTTTAAGAATGAAATTATATAAAAAAAAGTAGATTCTACTTAGTTATAGTACATTTTGCTAAAACTCATTCTGCTAAACCCATTTTGCTAAAGTCAATTCATTGAAAGGATATTTTACCGAATGGTTATTTCGTTAAATATCTATTTCACTAAATAGACTTTTCATTAAAAAGATATTTTGCCAAATGAATATCTCACTGAAAATACTTCATTATAATAACATTTTGCCAAATCCATTTTGCTAAATAGACATTTCTTCAAATTCATTTTATCAAAAGAACATTTTGCTAAAAATGAAAATAATTTGCTATTGATTATTAGTAATTTGTCAGATTTATTAAACTATTTTATTATTTTTAATAAAAAAACTTACTTTTTAATGTAGAACCTAAAAATGATAAGTAAAACAAATATTATGTAGTAAATATTTTTAGTAAAATATCTATATAGTAATATAGATTTAGTGATATATCCATTTGGCAAAAGGATTTAGCAAAACTTCATTTTGATAAAACAGCATTTTTAGTGAAGTATACTTCAGCAAAATGGTATTTCAGCAAAAATATCTTTTGGTGAAAGTCCATTCAGTAAAGTGATCATTTAACAAAGAGTCTTTTCAGTGAATTAGCTTTAGCAAAGTGGGTTTCAGCAAAACAGATTCAGCGAAATATTCAGATATCATTTTACTTTAGTTTCTAAAGACATTATTACTTTAAATTATACAGAAATTTTTAAATTTTCTTATATTATTATCTGAGTACTTTTTAAGTTATTTAAAAGAGATTATATAATAAATTCTCATCCAAAATTTCCTATTATCTGTATTTTACTTAGAAATCTTTATACAGAAAAAGTTGAATATGTTTTTAATACCAAATTTCAAATTACAAATATTATATTTAAACTTGAATTATTTATTTATATATTATCTGAAATTTCTAGTAATTGAATTATTTGAAAGTATAATGAATTAGGATCAAATATTCTACATTATATAAAAAATAGTCTTTTTTTTAATATATATCTAAATCAATTATTTGTTACAGTTTTAAAATCTTTAGTCTAAAATATCAATGTGAATTAGATGGTGAGGAATTTAGGTTTATTTATGATAGATGCATTTCAATCTATATAAAAAACTGTCAAAATTCTTGGAGAAAAGTTAATAATTATATTTCAGAAAAAGATATCACAAGTTTATAAGAAGGCCTACAGCATTGTATTCAAATTAGTCTAAAACTTTAAATTCAGAAAACAAAAAGCCTACTATTATAAAAAAACAAATAACTTCATGTATGGGTTTAGCTTAAAGAAGCAAAGAAGTCATTTGCAAAGATGTTTTTAATGACAGAATTATTATGGTTAGTCTGGGCATTTGGAATATTAACACCATATAAAAGAAAACAAAATTAATACCTTTAACTTGAAGAATAAGACATCTTTTATTTAGGAAGACTTAAAAAAGTACTATTTTCATGAAGTGAGAATATTTAGTAAATATATAATATAATAATAAAGTAATAAATAAAGGAATGATTTGTATTTTCTTTAAAAAGTGATGTCTTACTTTATAATTAGCTTTTTAATATGAACAATTAAACTTTAAGCTGACTCAGAAAGCCAATATGTATAGAAACTCTTGAAATTGAGCAATGTATAGTTTTCGTCTACAATAATTGACCGACGAACATCAGCTTTTAGAAATGTAATATTTTAGAAATTCCGAACTTGAAAACCTCATTTTAATTATAATTAATGATAATCGAAAAAAATCCATGGGAGAACAGTTATGTTAGTTAGCCTCCCCCCGAAAATACAATAAAAAAATTTGGCATATTGCCCAATGGTTTATTACAATTGTCGCACAGATTGGATCTCGATATTCACAATTCGCGCCAGAAATTGATAAGCAGATTCCAAAGCAAAAATTTATATCATGAAGGAAAGCATTTATGTGAAAGCTGGACTGGTGAAAGTTTTAACAAAGAGAACCTGTTATTCTTGATTCAACTCCGAGAAAATATGGAGAACTCTGGCTCTTGCTTTAAGTTCAGTATGCAGAGGCGACAACTTTTGTTATAATTTTCTAAGTATTATTTTACTTACTTAATTTTACATAGCAATAACAAACGGCTTTTACACCAGTTCATTGATGGTACATGTAGAGTTGACTGAAAAAGTTAAAATACGGAAGATTAGGACAAATTTCAAGTATAATCAAAACTATTTACATCAAGAAGAATATAATAAAGAAGTTCCGAGGATTGGATGTATATCTGTCTCTGGCTTACATCACCAGATGAAAGTTAAGAGTTTATAGACTATTTTAGTCATAAGAATGTAGTTGATTTTTCGTAAAAAATTTCACAGTAATATAATGTATTGTAAGTATATTTTAACGACTATCCTCTTTAGATAATGTAGTATTCATTATTAATACTGAGGAGTGAGGACTGACATGACGTAATACTTCCTTTCATTCGGTGCGACTTAGCATGTATATCTTAAACTGATGAGAATTATTTGGTGCTGAGAGACACACGGACATAATTGGAGATTTTACAAGGAAAGCGTTATTTATAGAGAGGCGTGAACAGAATGTTCGCGCTTGATCTGCTCGAAGCAAAAAAGAGTATGACAGAGTAAAAGGATGAACAATGATGTATTATCTTCACAGAGATTGTAGATAAATATGAAATTAGAATTCAGGATGGTCTTAATATAACCATCAAAGATATTCTGTGAAGAAGAAATATAGCAATTCGCGGGAGCATTGTTGAGATTAAGAAATATTATGAATTTTAATTTTTCCTTACTATTATATGCGCCAATGGCTAGGTCAGGCTGTACATGGTACAGCAAGTTTAGATTTAAGTAAAAATCGAGTACTATATACAGTTGCTCACTTTAACAGAAAAGCTGCAATGATATAGAAAGAAAAAATCAGAGATGAAGCTCTACGAAGATTCTTAATCGATATATTTTTAGTATTAATATAACAAAGTTCGTACATATTGAGCTTTGAAATTTTTTAACCATGTGTTTGCTTGTGCGTGAGCGTGTGGGGTGTGCATTGGAATGCTTTTTTTTTTTTTTTTATCAATTGATCATTAATTGTCTTTTGAGCAATTTTCTCATATAATAGATTTCACAAATTAAATGGATATAATGGATTGTATTATTTTTTTTTTTTATTTAAAATATTTATAATTCCCAAAAATAGTAATAAAATACTCATTTTCTACATTCAAGGCTACTTAATGAATCAATTCATATTTCAACGAAGAAAAAAAAAAATTTCTCGTCTCGTATGTCAAGGATAATACCGTTTCCAGAAAGTATAGGGTTTCATAACATATTCGTAATGTGGAAGTTATTTAAACCTCCATAAACAACTCTGAAGTGAATATATTTATGGAGTTGGACTCATCCTTTCAATAATGAAAAGGTATGGTCAAGTTTATGAATCATCAAAACGGACCTGGTTATGTATATGAAGGAAATATTGAGTTAACTTTACATAAGTCAATTGAACATCAAAAATGCTGCGGAACTCTTACAAAACCATATTACAAACGACCAATAAGTTACCTCAAAGATCTTTTAGGACCAGCACGGAAACTTTGTAATTTTTTTTTCCTCAAAAAAAAAAAAGGATAATGGTAATTGCTGATCCAGTATCAAGAACCATTCACATCTAAGGGATTCATTATATTTTTGAAGACAACATTCATTTGAGAAAAAGCAACGCCCGAATATTTATTAAGATATCTAAAATTAATAATCTTATTATGCGTATGTTTTTCTCTACAGGTGGGCTTTCAACGACGAGTGACATAATATATCCGAGGATGTTCTTCAGAGAGTTTATCATATGTTTCTTGTCCATTTGTCCATAACACATTACTTATCCGTGAATGAAAAATATACGACCCTTTAGACGGATCAATCTTTTCGGAATCGAAATGTGCTAGCAGTTGTCGAAATCTTCCAACTTCCCCAACTAGTGTCAGTATTATAAAGACCTCGTTACCGCAAGTAAACATCATTGTAACAAATCTACGATTTATAAAGATATATAAGTTAAATGTAACCAAGTTGGATCAGATTTGTTATAGGTCATTTTTGTTCCCTGAGAACCAGTTTTCCGAAATCTTGACATGCTGTTCATGAACAGGCTCTTCAGATGTATACTTGAGGATAAATTTTCTAACTTTCTTTTGAGATCAGGGAATCATCGTTCTCACTTTATTAGAATGTACAAAAGAATATTATTTTCACACACGAGAAATGGCATCAATTGGTTGTTTGGTTGGCATGTTAAAACTCTGAATTGCATAGGATTCTAAGCTTCGACAAGCATTTGCAGAATGATGGGTACTAATCAGATTTTTGTCGATCACTGCCAAATTGATTTGTATTTAAATGACATTTTTCCACGCATAGTTTTATTGAATTTCAATTTTATTACATTTCTTAGTTTTGAACACGTTCATCATACAGTAAAAGCTTTCCGGTTAATTTACTTTCGATTTTCAAGTAATTGTTCTCCTTTCACTCTTCACTATCTAACAGTTATGACCATTTTTTCTTCGTATTACTGAGCATGAAATTTGTTTAAAAAGAGATAACTTTCCCATGTTCCAACTAATTAATAATAATATTTTATGTTTTGATATGCTTATTTCGTTAGTTTTAAATTGTTAGCAAATTTCATAAAGGTCTATTATTTGTATTCAACTCCCTTCAATTCTCTTATAAAAACTTTATTTAATCAACTTGTGTCATTAGATGAAGCTTTGATAAAAAACAAAGGTTCATGTGCAGCTATATATTTTAGTTCAAATTTTTTTTTTCCATAAAATTATTAAACAATATTTCTAATATTAATTGTTTCCAAAAAGTTGGAGTACACATTTTTTATTATTTAAAATAAGATAAAAAGAAAAGAAAAAAATTGAATTCTACAAAGAATTTCCGTGTAAAAAATTAAAAGCGAATTTTATGTTACACGAACCGAAAATTGTAGCAAAAAAGTTCATTATTTATTATTTAATTATTTATAATTATTATCTTAATTCTGTTCTTTAATTCTACAAACGTGTAAAGAAACAATGAAATGATGGAATTTCTCCATCTTGAAATTCCATAATGATTTATATTTTTTTTCGATAAAATTTTTATTGATAATTCCCATTATGGATTTCTTTTGGTATTAACCATTTTTGGATATTGCATTTACATGCATTTCCTCGGGGGGCCAACTCCGGAAAAAATTTATAAATATTCAGGATTTTTTTTTTATTTTTCCCACCTAAAAATTTATTATTATTAAATATAAAATATCGCAAAATATTCATACATTATTTAATATGACGAATAAGGGTAAAAAACGTCAAAATGAGCAATCGGAGAGTAGAGACTCAAAGTATCCTCGTATCAAAGTTAGCTTGGATGATTCAGTTATGGATGTAGATTCCAGTTCCCTTCCATCCCTATCTCCGTTTCCATCCCCCTTACCTTCCTCTTGTCCTTCGCCGTCAATGGATTATTCACAGGAGACAATTTTTCAATATGAAAATGAAGTATCAAGCGAATTAAATAAAATGCATTTAAATAATAATTTGGAAAAAGAAATGGAGGTTTGTGAAGATAAACCAGAATTAAGAAGGGATTTCTCCTCAATAGCGAGTACTGCAATGAAAGGAACTCATTGTATAGCTCAAAGTTTCGAAGAATTTTGTCCAATAATCAAAACATTCCTCTCATTGGGAAATGAAATTGTAATGTTGTATGAAAAGGCCGAACATAATAAACAATTATGTAGTGCTCTTTTACAAAGGTGTAATTGTGCAATTGCTGCAGTAAAAGATTTAAATATTAGAAAAACCGAAAACATGAAGTTTTTTTCTAGGCATGAAAATCTAAGCATATTTAAAGAGTTTATTAAATGTATAAAAAAAATTAGAAACTTTATTAGGGATATTAGTCACTTAAACAAACTTCAAAGATTTTTTCATACGAGTGATATCAACGAAACTTTTCATAAGCTTACGGATGAATTTGACGGATATATGGATAGTTTAAATTTTTCTTTTACCATACAATCTAGAGATGAACTTGCAATAATACAACATGATGTAAGCCAAATCAAAGATATATTAACCGTTGTTCATGGAGTCTCTGAAGATAATCAATCTCAACAAAAATTCCTTACTGGAATGGATCGAGTGGCTGGAAGAAACAAAGAATTCAAAAAACAAAACAAAACTACCCCAAATACCAATTCATCTGAACAAATTAAAACAACTGTAGAAGCAAACGAACCATTACTTGAAGGCAATTCTTATATTAGAACAAATATTTGTCCTTCAAGAAGGATTGAAAAACGCACTACAGTCAAAGATTGTACTGACGTTTCATTTAAAGAATTTTCAAATAATACATCTTCGGATGAGGTGCAAACTCAGTTTGAAATCAGAAGACAAGTTAATATTCTTAAAGAATTAAAAAATTCTGATCATATTATAAGATTTTTTGGTGTAGCTCAAGAGGATTCCAAATATTATTTGATTACTGAATGGATGGAATTTGGTAATTTATATGAATATTATACCAAATTTAGAGAGCATATGAATTGGGGAACTAAGATAAGATTTGCTTTAGATATTTGTCGTGGTGTCGCGTATCTCCATGAATGTGAGGTAAGAAATTTAAAAATTCGTTAATCTTTTGAATCTGTTTTTTTTATATATATATTTAAAAAAATTTTGTTATAATTAGATCCTTCATCATGATATCCAGTCGGCAAATATTTTAATAAATCAATATCACAAGGTTAGAATAGCAAACTTTGGTCTAAGCAAAAAATTTTCAGATATTACTAGAAATATTTCAAATAATCTAGAAAATATAAGATATATGGCTCCAGAAAAATTATTATATGATAAAAATAACGATAAAAGAAAAAAGGTTCCTTATGATACTAAATGTGAAATTTATAGGTAAATCGAATTTTTAAATCATAAGATCGCGATAAGACCTTTTTACAATATAATAAATTTATTAACTTTTTAATATTCCATAGCGTCGGAGCATTACTATGGGAAATTGCAGAATTAAGAAAACCTCATTCTGATCTAGATAAATCAGAAATACTCGGTAGTATTAGAAAACGTATACAAGAAAAGTATTATGAACCATTTTCAGATGATGTACCTGGTGAATGGAAACAAATTGTATCTAGAGGTATTTACAAATGATAAAGTAATAAAGTTCTAAATTTAAATTCTTACCATTTTTTTTCTCAATTTTATTTTAGCTATGGAGTATGAACCAGCGTGGCGTTCTACTATATCTTGTATTTGTCGCGATCTTTATAATTTGATAGGTCCTCGTCAATACACTAGTTCCAATTCTAATTTGGAAAATAAAGTCTCAACGCCCAATTATTCTTCAGAGAGCTACAAGGAAAACATATCAACTAATAATAATCAAAGTTCATCACCCGTTACTTTTATAATTCTCCCTGTTGGAGATGCAATTCGCGAACACAAATCCAGCAATGGAAGCAAACTAGTTGCATGGAATAGTTTCAAATTTCAC